ACCTATTTTGCTTCTTCCCATTCTTATCTGTGAATAAGTAAACTAATGTGGGTTTCTTCTATGCTCTGTGTGCTCCAAGAGATACAGAAGAACAAAGCCTCCTCAGATAAGCATCAAAAAGTAAAGTGTTCTTGGCAAACCTGAGAAAACGTTGCCTGAACTCTAACAGTGCATTTACAGACACAGAATATGCATGACAAAGGGTGGGAATTAGGCAAAAATATGGTCTGCCCCAAGCTCTGGCCTGCACCCACCCCTCTCCTTTGGGGAGAGATCATTTCTGAGGGACAGAGGACAGCACCTTCCCAGAAGCAAAGAAAATCATAACCCTTTATATAATCCCTCCTCTGGCTGCCGGTGCCTGGCCCTAAAGTGCATCTTCATGGTACAGCTGTTGGTGAAATGGGACCCTCTCTGTGGAGAGGCATCATGCCACCTTTCTCACATGAGACTTTGCTACGCTCTCCCAAAATGTTTTTTTTTTTTAAGCAACAGACAGGAAATATGGGTCCTACCCACCAACTCTGCTTTACCTGTGAAGGGTTTTCAGCCTGTGTGCACAAGCAGGGCCGGGGGCTGCAGAGCTGGGGGCAGTGGAGACCCCGTGAGCTGCGAGGCCGGCCAGGGGGAGTGAGCGGGCCCAGCCAGGTGCCCCCATGAAGGAACAGGCAGCAGTCCTGGGAAGGTGTCTCAGGAACTGCAGGGCTTGGACAAAGGACCTGGGAAGTTGAGGGAACCATACTAAATTGTGTGAATTAGGGAGAAAAGGCAAACAGCCACTCATGAAGTAAACCCTGATTGCCACATCGGAGTGAAACAAGAGAGCAGATGGCTGCTGACACAGTGCCACCCTGTTGGTTCTGCGGATTATTTTTTTCAACAGCTGAATGGAATGATGAAGCTTATTTAACCTCTTTGCTATCCTGCACAGCCAAGATTTCACCAACAGAAAAGACAGGACCCACACTGGTTATGGAGTGATTTTGGAGAATAATTTTGAGAAACAGTCTGGCAGACGACAGCTCTAACTCATGGATGTAAACCAGGTGCTCTCCAGAAGCCTCCTAAATTATTTGAACTAGGCAGTGAACATAAGAAAAGGTTGATGTCTTCTGCACCGGCTTCCTTTTTTCAGTGGTCTTAAGCTTTGCCTGACAGAGAAGCTTTTGGAGACTGTAAGGATTATGGGATCCATGTTGTGGCCAGAGAAATGAGAGTGACCCGCAGCAACATTGATATAAACCAGGATCTTTTCAGGCCTTGCATTAAATTGGGTTTAAAAAGCACAAACAAGTGCTCTTTTCAGACTCAGGCCAGCCTCACATTCTCTGATCTTCCTCCTAGAGCACTTAACCACAGTGGCATTTTATCAAATTAATATTTTACTGGTAAAAAAACCCTCAAAGATGATGAAATAGCAAAGTATTTATGTCAAACAATAGAAGTTTGTTCTTTGTAAATAAAATGTTCCTTGAAAATGACACACGAGCCCATTTCTTCCATGCAGAGAGGGAGGAGGCAGCAGTGCACTGAGCACAGGGGCTGGGTGAGCTCTAAGACCTCAGTGTTGTGCAGTAGACATGGAAGCTACAGCTTCATGGATTTGAGCTCCTAAGACCCTGTATTTGTATTAGCCAGACCTTGCCAACAACACTTCAGGCGCTGCTCTATAAAATGCAAAGGCTTATTTTTTAAAGGCTGGGAGAGCAATTAAAGCGAATAATGACTGGGTACCTATGTCAGACACTGATACGTGTGTAAAGATATTGAAGGAGACAAAATGGTTTGCACAAAGGCTAAGCAAGTATGGTATTTCTGGTCTTAGTATGACCAAAATGAGTGTTTGAAAAGTGCAGAGGCAAACTGGTTACACATGCTGAGTTAAACTGGGAAGGTGCTTTTATTGCTGATGCTAGTGCAAAAATGTCAGGTGTAAGACATGTTTGGTTCAGCCTCCAAGAAATGAAAGCTCCTTCCAAAGTACAAGCTGAGTCTATAGTTGCATTTCCAGTTGATTAACAACAATCATGCATGACAAGTAGCAAGTGAGCTGCTAGGTGTTGAAAGAGCTTCATTTTAAGCAAAATGATGAATAAGAATGTTGCTACACCTATGAATTAGCAAAAAACCAATTGTGAATAGCACATTATAAAAGAGATGCTTCATGGTAGTCAAAACTAAACCTGAACATGAGGAATAGCAGAAGATCTTATCCACTGTGAGTAACTGGACAATAAAATGGCAAATGAACCTCGGTGTCTGCTGCTGCAAACTAATACACAGCGAGAAAATTAATCCAAAGCACACCCATTTAAGTATATGAGCATATATGTACTCCAGGAAATGTTGTTACAGTTTCTAGAAACTCTTAAGAAAGAATCCTGGAGTGACTATGAAAAAGTTAACTCATTGCTTTCAGGTGTCTGAAAAATGAAAACAAAAGGGGAATGACTAGAAAATGGTGGAGAATGCAACTGAGAGCATTGCTCTGTGCATATATAAACTGTTCAGGTACTTGGACTGCTCTTGTGAAAAAGGCACAAAAAGTTGTGATGAGGATAATAAAGACACATAACAGCTCCTGCACGGTCCCGATTCAACAAATGAGGCCTTTCAGCACAGAATAAAAAGGATGGAGAGAGGATAAGACAGAAGTTTATGCATTTGTGGAGGAGATGAACAGGGAAAGACAATTAGCTATTAATCCCAAAAGTGAGGACTCAGGAATGTTACATGAAATTATAGAAGTGCAGGTTTTCAGTAAGTGAAAAAAGTTTTTTTTCACCACACACAATAACAAGCTATTGAGTTAATTATTCCAGGATCTTGTGAATTTTGAGATATATGAGATAAATATTAAATATTTATATAATCCAGATGTGGGAGACATCAAAACATAGCTAGACAAAGCAGAGAGTGAAGCAAGAGCTATTAAAAGTAGAGATCCAGACAGAACCTCTGGAGGTGCCATGAGGCTGTTACATGAAGAGATGCAGACAAAGTCTTTGGAAAGCTGTAAGACATTACTGGAAGACGAAGCCAAGATCTCTGCTAGCTTGAAATTAAAAAAAAAACAAACAAACAACCACCAAACCTGTTTCTGTGTTGAGAAAGTTGCAACAGTATTTATTTTCCTATTTTTATGAAGCTTTTATTTTTGCATTATTTTACAATCCACAAGAAGTAGGTTTTGTACATATATACACACTTTGTAACATTCATCACCTTCAGTCTACCAGAATAACCCTTCCTTACAGCTGAACCTTTACAGATGCCAGAGCTGGTAACACTTGGCTCTCGCAACCCCTGCCAACTAGCCAGGTGTTAAGCAAAGCACAGGCAAAAATCCTGCACCCCGGGATTTGTGCTTTGTCCTAATTCTTTGCCAGGATTCCCCTCTTCTTCCCAAATAAAGCATTACATACTTCCTCACATGTACAAGCAAGCAGACAAAAATGAAGGAAAGGCAGCACTCAGCTTTACCATAGATTTTGCTTGGTTGTAAACTAAAACCACTGTGGCAGCACTGAGCAACACAAGTTGTGGACATCTTTCAAATATTTACCACTATCAGATATTTCTTTGTGGATTATTTAAAGATCTTACAAATCTGACTTCATTTTCTAAACCTCTGAGAGCAAAACCAATGCCATTTTGCAGATACACACACAAGTTCCAGTTTCCTGTAATTATTGTCTATATCAATCACTAGATCAAGCTTAAATTTTATTTAAATCCCTACTGATGAAAGCATTTCTGCTTCCAAACACCTCACAAAAAGCTCAGTACTAAGTGCAACATACGGGACAGATCCTTACTTCAATATACAGAAACAAACACACAACTTTCAGCAGTACTTTATATATTTAGACAAGATTTTATTATCTCACAAGTCATACACATAGCATTTCACCACCTTCTAGCTTTCCTACACATCCTCTTTAGCACAGCATTCTTTTCTGGTAAGACTTTTGGTCACAGTGTTTAAAAAAAGCAAAGGGTCTTTACTGTGTGGTACTCAAGCGTCATTTAATAGAAGTCACTCTTGGTTGGATGCTCTGAGTGAAATGCAGACTGTGTGAGACAGACCTGAGCCTGACAGCAATATTGGACATACTTTACAAAGCCCAATGCAAGGGCTGCAGCGCTGATCCAACTAATTCATGCCTGGCTGGCCATGGCCTCCATCCTCAGCAGCTTTCCTCAAAGAAAGGGGTTTGAAGGACACTATAACTAGAAGAGGTCTTTTTTTAAAAAAAATTGTCAACAACGGAGCTCAAGCTCCAGAAAAATAACACCTAATAACTTTTCACGTGGCAAGAAATGCTCCTTTGATTCACTATACTTTCTGCTAGATTATTTTCTCTCACAAAACCAACTTTAACTCCCCCCTCTTTGCACAGTAGCAGTGAAATCAAGGTTGTGCACACTAGTGAGGGTAGCAGAGAGGTTTCTTACAGGTGTAAGAAAACCCACAAGATTTCAAAGGGAAAACAACCACAAGCCTTACTTCTGTCCTGTCCTGAGCTGCCTGCTGCCCCTGTTACCCCACATCTGGCTACCAAGATCATTCAATTTGTTAGTATCAAATTCGCAGTTAGTCTATCTGTTCCGTGTCTTCCAAACTCAAGCCACCTAAGGTCTCTGAGGTTTCTCTCTCCAGCCCTGCCTCATCTTACAGGAAGCCTCTGGGATCTGCGTTTTATCAGACCGTTGTCCGAACTGGCCCACGGGGACGACCTCCTCGGGCTCTCACGGCACCGGGGCGGTTTCGGAGGGACCCGCAGGACCGGATTTCCCTCCGGGACACATTTTCTTACCGCGTGGGTATCAATCCCAGGCGGGGCCGCGCTCGCAGGGTACCGAGCCCGCTCCGCACCAACCCCGGGCTCAGCCCCTCGGCCATGCCCCGCGGCGGCGATGCCCGCCCCGCACCCGGCCCCGCCCCGGGGTACCCGCCGCCTCCGCGGGCGGGGGCCGGGTTAAAAGCGGCGGCAGGTGAACGGGGAGGGACCTTAAAGCTGCGGGGCGGCGAGGCTGGGACCGGCCGCTCCGCGGGCACCCTCGGAGCCGGGAGCGGAGAGTGGAGCGGCGCGTCCCGTCCCATCCCGAGTGCTCTGCCGAGCCGTGCCAGGTGAGGGTCCGGATCGGGATGGGTGAAGCGCGGCGGAGGGGAGCCCAGGCTGGGGGCTGGGATAGGGGTGGCCGGGGCGATCACGGAGCTGCCGTCCCCGGGTCGGCTCCCCAGCCCCTGGACGGCCCGAGGCGGCGGGGCTGCGGGCCGGGGGCGGATGACGCCCGTCGGGGCGCTCCCGCAGCGCAGCCCGTTCCGGGAGGAGGCAGCGAGGGGCGATCGGCCGCGGGGGTTCCCGCAGCCAAAGGGTGGCCGCGGGGTCCCGGCCCGCCCCGGCGCTCCGGGCTTCGTGGGCAGCAAAGCTCGGCGCGGAGCGGGGACGGGCTGGGAGCTGCCTCAAGGCACCCAGCGTGTAACCAACACGCGAGGATTTCGGGTGGTTGCAATAAATGGTGTCTCGGTTGGCAGGGCGAGTGTCCCGGTAGATTCACTCAGTCCCCCCAGCCAGTTTTGGTGTTTCTGTAGTTGCGAATGCGTAGGGAGAAATGCTGTTTTCTCCCCCAAACTTGCAGCGCTGGTTCAGAACTGTGGTGTGAGAGCACGTTTGGAGCCCGGGTTGTTAATCCCACTGCGATATACACTTCAAATACTTTCCCTCAGTCCTGATCAGCCCCTTTGAAGATTTCATTGACTTTGTTTTAATGACTATGTGACAGACGTGAGGAAACTCTTAACAGAAAGATGCAGGTATCTGGTCATAGCCGAGAGTTTAGGTCAATATAAAAAGTTGCATAAAATGCTGCTAGTTTCAGCAGAGACAAAACATGAGAAGTCTAAGGAATTCCAGCCACCTTCTCAAAGCTTTTTTTTTTGTCTTACCCAATTTCACCTCTCCTTGTCATAGTAAATCTGACCTCTCCCTCTTGCCTCAAGGCTTGTCTGTACAAGATGGGCCCTTATACCAAGGGTATGTGCTGGGGCACGTTGGTCCTTTAGTTGAGCTGTAATGACACCAGGGCACAGAAGTTCTTTTTTTTCCTTTCATTTTTTTTTTTTTTCCTCTATTACGTGAGAGTGAGGGACTTTGAAAATTTTGAGCACTGTAGTTTTGCAAGGTACCATGGTCTCCCCACAGCACACACCCTGCACCAAGAGGAAACAGAGCTCTTCTCCAGGGCCAGTGTGACTCTCCCACACAGCAAACTTAAGCTCCAGCCTTGAAAGATGATGGACCAGCTATGCAAGTTTCCAGCTCTGTTTTCAAAGTGTTTTGTCCGATTCAGTGATAGTTTCTAAATGGCTGCAATCAGTGAAAGCTGAGCCCTGAGACTGAATTCTGACTTCAGCAAAACTTACCTCTAACTTTCAAAGGGGCAAAGAGTGTGGATTTTAATTTTCAAGAGCAGGAGGAAAGCTGAAATGGAGCTTTCCTGAAGTTTGACCTCGTGTTTATTCGCTGGGGTGTGATAGCATCTAGAAAATCAACATAAACCCTTTAGCTGAGGGCTTTTTCCTCCTGACTGTATTGCTCTGCTTGCCTCCTTTTTTGGATGAGATAGCAATGAATGTGGAAGGGCAGGCTCTGTGGTATCTTCTTTTGCCTGTTGGTTTGTGCTGTATGTGCATGCAGCCCTGACACAGCTGGCTTGAGGCTTCTCAGCAGTGTTGGCAAAATCAAATGCTGTACTTCTGAAATGAAGGGCTTGCTAAGAAAGCATCTGAGCTGAAGCATAAAGCCTTGGAGGCCTGCTGGAGGTGCCTGGGAGGAGTGAAGGCTTCTGCTGAAGAAGGCCGAGTTGTACTTAACTTGGAGGCAAATAAAGAACCAGCCCAGCCTTCTAGGGCTGTAGTGTTAGCAAAGAAATCCTGTGAAAACTACTAGAGAAATCTCTGCTTTGTCTAAATGTGGGCCTTAACTCGTGCAGTGATAGTAAGTTCTATTGCTTTAGGAAATACACTGAAACACTGGTGAGAGTCAACCACAGAAAGGGAAGTAGGGCATAGAGGATGCATGGAAGAAATGTATTTGAAGATGTAACTTATTTTTTCCCCAAAGCCTTGCTATGAAATATATCATAGTATGCCTGTCCTATCATAAATACATTAAGGAAAGAGTTTAAGTTGTTTGAATCCATAAACACATGAGTGACATTAATGAAAGTGACTTGCATTTTCCTATGGCTCTTGAGTGAATGCTAGGAAATGCCCTCATTCATAGAAGGTCTAGAGCTGATTTATTTACCCTTTGAAAACTGACCATTTGGTGTATTATGTCATCCTGCAGGTAAAAGGACACAGAAAAGAAGATGGACTGGGGAAGTCTGCAGGCCGTTTTAGGAGGTGTAAATAAACACTCCACCAGCATCGGGAAGATCTGGCTCACAGTCCTGTTCATCTTCCGTATCATGATCCTGGTCGTGGCTGCAGAGAGAGTCTGGGGAGATGAACAAGATGACTTTGTCTGCAACACACTTCAGCCTGGGTGCAGAAATGTTTGCTATGACCACTTTTTCCCCATCTCTCACATCAGACTCTGGGCCCTGCAGCTGATCTTTGTTTCCACACCTGCTCTGCTGGTGGCCATGCACGTAGCTTACACCAGGCACGAGAAGAAAAAGCGGTTCAGAAATGGTGAGAAAATTGATATCGAAGAGCTGAAAAATGAAAAGATTCACATTCGAGGCCCCCTGTGGTGGACATACACCAGCAGCATCTTCTTCAGGATCATCTTTGAAGCAGTCTTCATGTATGTGTTCTATTACATGTATGATGGGTACCAGATGCCTCGCCTGGTGAAGTGCAATGCATGGCCCTGCCCCAACACAGTGGATTGTTTTGTGTCTCGGCCCACTGAGAAAACCACATTTACTATTTTCATGCTTGCTGTGTCTGGGATCTGCATGATGTTGAATCTGGCTGAGTTTTGTTACCTAGTGATAAAAATTTGCATGAAAGAACCCAGGAAAACAACGGTTTTAAAATAGTTCCCCAGTTTCAGGATTTTCTAGCTCCCCATTTCCTTCAAACTTTCTTAGGTGTCAGAAGACAATCAGCAATATTTTCACACTCGAGAAAAAAGATACAAATGAAAGTTCATTCACACTTTAGAAATGATAGCCTCCCTGGGAAGCTGCCACCAAGGGCAGGTTTTAAAGATCGTAAGCTAATTCAGTATTCCTGCATCCACAAATAGAGAGAGCAGCCTTCTGGCAGCAGCTTTTCCAAATATGCCTACTGCTGGGATCCTGTTGTTGGGACAGAGGCACTTTTTGAAAAGTGGGAGTGGAAAGGATCAGAGAAGGCTCTAGTGCCCAAAGGGGAGCCAGGAATGACAAACACACTGTGTCATCTTCAGAGGCCAGCCAATAACAAAGGGTTTCAGTCACAGCGGGGTGAAGGTTTTTTTTGGGGAGGAACTTACAGTTTGTGAAAGGGAAGAAGACAGGGAGGTGATTGTGTTTGTAGCAGGTGTCCTGTTCTCTCTCAAGTATTCTGGTACTCTATGGCAATGCATGCTATCACCTCTGCTGGGCACCAGCAATGGCTTTTATCTTTTTATCCCCTCACCTGCACCAAGGAGCATCTCCTGCAGGGTTGGGGGTGGCCCATCTCAACTGCTTGTGAATGTCACTAGGTCAGTGCTGCCTCCTTCCACTCACAGGGGCTGCAGCAGTGGGAGGAATGAAATTTGGTTTTTCATTCTCTTAGTCAGGTGAGGAAAAAAAAGGATTGTCCCCTTTGAGAAGGTGGGGTCCATGCAACTGTCTTCCTTCTTCTCTTGTTGTCCCCCAACACTTTGTGAAGAATCTCAGTATAGTAAGTTTTACTCAATGAAGAGACTTACTACCACCTGACTGTGCCTCCTTCAGCTGTGTACCTTCAAAAGTTGGTGGGTTTTTTTTTTAGTAAAAGCCAAAAAAATTTGCCTTGTTTCATTCTGTATGTTATCCAAAAGAAATGCTTCAACATCTACATCATGATATGCAGTACATAGCACCTACCAGTGCTCCTTCCATCAGGTACTGCATTTCTTCATAAAACCTTCTCCCTATCTGAGGTACCTTTCAAGTGAGTTCATCAAACCACTCCCAATTTCTCTGTCATTCCACACTGAGAGACTGAATCACCCTTCGTTTTCTTACAGTAGGTCTAGCAAGAGTTACAGGCAGCCTGCAGAGCTAAAATAGCAAAGGTACCCAATCAGAAATGAGGAGGAACTCGATATTTTTCTTAAAGTTTGCATTGCTGGGCTGTGAATTGTGTATTACGAATTTGAAGAACTATGTGAGTCAGTCCGGTCTTGTCTCTCCAGAGCAGTCTCAAAACATGTTTTATGCCTGTCAAAGGCAGCTACACCAGCAGTTTATGCCCTAAGTGCCTGCCCATTAAACCCGTTTCTAGAAAACTGGCTTTTCCTCCTCCTTAGCTTTAATATCTGGCTTTCCCCCAAAAGGAATGAGTGCTATCTCAGCTTCTCTATTTGCATCCATCTCTTATTGTACATTTAAGTTTATCGCTGTTGGAGTTAAACAAAGCTGTATTAACTAAGACCCGTGACCCCGCACTGTGCACTGGAAGCGGAGCACGAGCAGGCTCCCATTGCTTGTGAACTGCATCCAGTGTTATAACTTGACTGCAGATGGAAATCTGTCATCCAAGAGCGGAGCAAGAAAAACATAAAAACACCTTCCTCAGAAGCATGAACAAAAAGATGGAAAGTCATTAATAATGAGCTGAACTGGAAACTTGGACCGTGAAAACATCCTTAATCCAACTCTAAAGACAAAGCTTGGCACATATCAGATTTGTGCTTGGTAAAGTTCCTACATTGTTCCGTGTACAAGTACAAAGAGAACAAACTATCTACACTCCCAAGTGCTCTAGGATTACATGTCTTTTGTAACAACAGGAATTTTATTTTTTTCTGAAGTTGTAATTAAAGCATTCTTGTGGTGTCTGTTTTCTGTATTACTTGTACATCCCGTTTATTACTTAATGTGTGTAATGAAAATCTGTTTACCATAATGGATAATGTATGCACCAATACTACATTTAATAGCAAAGGGCTACTGTAAGGATTTTAGTCTTCTGCTGCAGGTTGTTTTTTCAATTGGTTACATTGCCTGTTGTTCTTCATGAGCTGGGAGTAGAAGATCACGTATATGACCTACTAGAAATCAAATGTGCTGCCTTGTGTCAGCCTTGTAGTAGCAGAATTGCAGCTGGAAAAGGCTGGTGATAAGTAACTTAACCAGCTCTATAGGGGAGAGAGTTTATTTTCCCAGACTGCCTTTGAGTGTTACTGGAACTTGGAACAAGACGCACCAAATCTGTAACACTAACACAATGACGTTCTCTTCAACTAGCAATTTGGCAAACAGATTGTCACACAGGGAAAAAAGATAGAAATAAGTGTTTAAAGTGGCAGAGAGAGGACTTTGATTCAGAACTGCAGCATCAAGTCACAATAGCTCTAACCAGAACATATTTACTGTCTGAGATTTCTGTATATATTAAATTGGACTAAATAGCTACTTTGTAAACAAAAATAGTTCGGGTACTTCATAGGAATACAGGAATTGCACCTATTTCTACATGTGCTACATTGCATGGTTGACCCCCTACAAATGGATTTCATACAGATTAAAATACCACACTGTGTTGGAATTGTGTGTGTTCTTTCCTGAAATAGTGTCTGCATTTTTGGAACTTTGTTCCTAGACTCTTGTCAGAATGAAGACTGCAAGAGTGTTGAAAACAGAAGCAGCAAATCTGAAGTCAGGACTGTAAAAGAGGCTGATTCCTCAGTGTCCAGTGTAGCCAGGATACAAAGCGTCAAATAATGTAGTGTCAGAACTGGGAAGTGTAGGAGTGGGACTGGCTAGAATTATACTGTGATTGAAATCACAAGGAGAAGTCACCGTTAACTTCATCAAACTAAACTTTTATCCAAACCTCTGAAACTAAAACTACAAATATGTTTGTCAGAAAGAGGGATGGCAGAGGGGAAAGCAAACTTCACTGTTGACTCATAGACCCAGCCAGAGAAAAAAAACCCAACTCTCATTAGAGAAAGACTAATTTAAAAGGAAATCAGAAGTATAAATTTGTATAGATATAGAAGTACCTTTATTAAAGATTTTCTTAGATGAAAGTAAAAATTCCTTCAAATGTTTTACAGTTATTGTGAGCCAATGTACTGTGTTATTTCCTATCTGTCAGCAAGACTATAAATGACCAATTATATGGTACATACAGAGAAGAGCACTCCTGTACCGTGGAGGTACAAATTCAAAATAGCAACACTGTTAAAAGTTGCTTTATTTCATAAAAAATGTACAGCAACAGCTAAGAACACTTTACTACAAACTGAACTTGGTGAAAATCAATCTTTTTTTTTGCAGCAAATAAGCAACAGCTAAGAACACTTTAGTACAAACTGAACTTGGTGAAAATCAATCTTTTTTTTTTTTTTTTTCCCTAATCATAATTCCCTCCCCTACAACTTAGGCTAATGTGATTTACCAGGGAACAAAATCAGAGTCAAAGAATTGCACTGTATTTTGTCATCACCCATATTCAGGACATACTCAGGACAGCCACTACCCTGGGTGTTAATTATAGGTTTCTTTGGATTTTCACCATCTTATTATCTATACAGTCATTTGAACCTGTTTGTAGACAGTGGCAAGAGTAATGCTAACTATCTGAGGTTAATGAGCTAAGACTAATGGTTATGATCTTCAAGATAAGTTCAGGATGTACATATACTTTTTTCCCTATCTGACCAACCCAGCTTGTCATTGACATTTTCTTTTACAGAATATATTTCTCTTCTGTAAAGTTGGTCCAGCTCTGACTGGGATATTTTCTCTATAAGCCATCCTACCCACCGAAAAAAGTCTTTATAACCTAGGTTTGGAAATGTATTAAGCTTTAATCAGCAGGCTCAGCTGAGGAAAAAAGTCACATCTCTGACTTTCTACCTTGGAGAACATAGGTTACTCCTGCTACAGTTGGTCCCCCAGTACTACCATAGAATTCAGCCTTAGAATTTGCCACGTAATTACACATACCTTCTCCATTTTTTCTGCCCATTAAGTCAGTGCCACTAATTCAGTTATTCCTGCTCTATGATCAATCCATTGTGTTTGAATAAGCCACCTACTAAAAAATAGCCTCTCTGAGAATACCACCAGGTCGCCAGATGCTGGCATAAGCCTTTCTGGTAAAAGAGTGATACGGTATCAATATGACATACAGTTTAGGGTTTGGTTTAGGTTTTGAGTGAACTGAAAGAGAATTTACAGATTTGAGCTATGAATCACTGCAGGTTGTGGATGAATGTTTCGAATGGCAGTGTATATTCTGCCTGCTGCTAAGAACCAGCATTTCACTCAGCCTGGCACAGTACCCAGGATAATAAACACTGCTGTGTGTGAATGCAGTCACACTGGTCTGAAGCAGGTGGCTTTTTTCAGTGGAAAAGCTGTATACTGGGCAGGCTTACTTGCTTAGGCAAGGTGTATTTTTTCTGTTGCCTTGGCAATTATGGTATTACAGGCTTGTCAGCTGGGAAAGACAATAGCAGTCTTAAAACTGTTTAAGTTGGGATCATGAAATTTGGTTTAAAAGTGTTTCACAGGTCATTTTCTACCTAGGTTCAATCTTTAAGATAACACGTACAAATCCCTCCCATCATCTCTAAGTGATCCACACATTAGCAGGTATTCTGCACCTTCTTTTGATGAAGTGACTGGAAAACTTGCAATCTGTTTGTTATCTAACTATCAACATTTCTTTTGTCATAAGACTTCTTCCACTTGATTTGAAAGTATTGTAGAAGTCCTAGTACATAGGGTTAACCCTGAATCTCATTGTTTCTGAGTTTCCCCAACTGAAAGATAAAGGTGACAACTGCGTTGTGTTCACAGGGAGCAGAACAGTTTAATAAAGTGTTGTTTGTTAAAAACATTGCAACAGGTGCCATAAAAAATATTTTATAATTATTGTGTGGTAAAGATTTCAAACCTATTGTAGGTTGCATCATTACTGTAATGTCTGCTTATGGTCAGTCATGTCCCTGCCCCGGGTGTTACATCCTTTCCAAGGACTGAGTGTTTAATATACAGTTTAAATAGCTTCCACAACCTCTCCAGCACAAATAAACAAAAAAAAAATATCTATACACATGCCCACACATATGTACACACAGACACAGAGGAACAAACTGACTAAATCGTTATCTCACTGTTACCTGATAGAAGACAGAGATTGCAACATGGATTTGTCAGGAATAATTTCCACCTATGCCATGATAAAAGCTTTTGTGTGTAGCAGTAAAATAGTTATTAATGACTCATTGTCAGTATGCAAGCAACCACCAAATGGGATAAACTGTATGCAGCTGGGAGGAGCTGCAGGTACATGGGTAGACTCAGAATTCAGTAAGATCTTTATCACCAGGCAAAATGGTTTAACAAAAGCAGTTTGAGAAGTTAGGAAGGGCTAAATGCTGCTATTGTGGAATAAGCACTTGCAGAACTGCAGGATGGAGACCTGTCCTGAAGCAAAGAATAGCTTTGTCGAGAAGACATAGGGTATGTAATAGATTATCAGTGGAACATGAGACATTAATATTGTTGACTTGGAAAAATATCATACTGGTATGCATTAAAGGTTTGCCAAAAATAGGATGTTTGAAATAATGTTTCTACTCTTCTGAAAGTCCTTATCTGGACACTGCTTTGAGATGCCATCTGCCCAAAAAGCCCATTTATCAGCTGGAGAACTAGAGGGGTCAGAAACAATAGATGACTAAATGTCTAAGACACACAATCTGTAAGGAAAGCCTGAAAGAAATTATTTGGCCTGGAAAAGTCTGAGAAAAGACCCAACAGCACTCTTCAAATACATAAGAGGTTGTGGCAAAGAAAATGAAGATGTTGCTCTTTACATCCACTGGCAATAGGACGAGAAATAATAGGCTTATGTTGCAATGAGATGTAGGCTAGTCACAGCAAAACCTCTCTGTGAAGAGGACTAAGCATTGAGTTGTATGTCAGACTTTCCATTACTGAAGATTGTTAAATGGCAACCCAGCCCATCATCTGTTGAGGATGGTCTAGGTATAGGACTCTGCTCCAGGACAGAGGGAATTCCTAAGATCTGTGAGGAAGGGGACCCCAACTGAAAGAGTCAGTTGTACAGGTTTCTTTTGCTTGGCCAAAGCTCAGCTACTGAATCCAAACCTTTTTTTTTTAATATAAATTCAAGTCTACTTGTCAATGCAGAGTCTAACCAGCATGATTTCTGTCAGCATGGTTCCTTGTGTTTTTAGCAATTGTAATAATACATTATTGTGTTATGATAAATTCCACGTGACAAAGCACATGATGTGGCACTGTAAGTAAATAAAATTGTAATTAATATAAATGAAGTTGGTGATAGATTTTTTTCTCCTCAGTACAGTGGGTAAAAAGCCCCTTTTGCCTCAGTTTTGTGTCTCACAAAGCAGGCATTCCTTCCAAGAGGAGAAAGGCTGAAATCCAGGTCAATTTTCAGTTTTGCTGCCCAGTGGACTCTACATGCAAACATTGGTCAAGTTTACTGAAGCTTGGTCTGCATCCAGGAGAAGTGTCACAGCAATAGCATGCCATTTTATGTTGCTGATTTCAAAGGCAGACCATCATGTTGTTACAGTGGTTTGAATTTTGTAGAGAAATTTTCCCATACATGAGCTTTTTTTTTTTTTTTTTTTTTTCAAAGCAGGATATCTATTGTTGTCCTTCTCTGTGGAAGGTAGGCAGGATTTGAGGCATGTCAGCAAGGTACATTCCTGGTAAAACATACTCTGTTTGCTTTTATCCTGAACACAATGAAAAAGAACATCCTTGATTAGGAGCTTTGGTTGTGGTTTGGCACTATGAATTGTTCACTGGTAGTACTAGTTTAAGGCATTAGTACTGATGTCATCCCTTCCTGCTCATTATTATCCTGTCTGTATCTCCGTCCCACCCCATTCAACACTCCAGGACCTTGACTGTGCCAGCACAGTTGTTTCCACAGCCGTGCTCAGCATTGGATTGGCTGACGGTTTTAGCTGATGAAGAAACAAATATTTTGCTTTGCTGGGTTGTTTTTTAGCTGGATCAATTCCTTGATCTAGCTTACAGGGAAGCCACATGAACTTTTGTGCTGACGTGACTGTGGGGCAGCAGGCCATGGTGTTGGGCAAGAAGAGCTGCTGGGAGTGAGTGGAAGGGGTGGAGGGAATGGCAACATGTTAAGTTGTATTTGCTACTACACACACTGTAATTTCATATCACAGCCTCTGGCTGCATTTTCATAAGCGACTGCTACTAGAAAGGCAAAAGTCTTACCACCTTTTCCTTCCTTTGCTGTTGTACCTTTCCCTGCTCTCTACTCTTCTCTACTGGCCCTGCTTCTCATCTACTGGCCATCTTCTCCCTTGCTCTGACACAATCTCTCAACCTTTGTATGAGTTGATTTAACTCACTAACTCAACAGAGAACTATTTGAACTCTGCATTTTGATTTGTTTTCACCTCAGTTGGCTTTCTGCCAGGCTTGTGGCAGTCATCAAAGTATTTAAAATATCAGTATTTTTATTTCTTCGTGTTTCCGCCAGTAGTGTGAAAAAAAAAA